TGAAAGGTTTATTCAAGGACACGTCCAAAGGCTGCAGTATCGATGTGAGGCCGCCCGGAACCACTGCCAGATCTGTGCGCAGCTCCTTCAGCTCATCTCGTACGCGGTCTACTAGGTGCCCACGAAAACTGTCCAGGACAAGCATGGACGGCAACAACAGACCACTCGGCCGCCGACCCCAGACTGTTTTCACCCAATCCACCATGAGTTCCGCGCTCATCCAGCCTTTTTCCTGGACTCTGACGTAGATGCCTTGAGGGAATTTTGCCTTTGGGAGCGTCTTACGTTTAAAAATAACGTAAGGCGGTAGCTTACGCTCATCTTCTGTCACCGCCAGGATTACGGTGCATCGTTGTTTATCAGCGCCAGACGTTCTGACGATGACGCTCCGTGCACCTTTCTCCTCCACTGTCGTGTTCCACGGCATATCAAAGCAAAGGGGGGTCTGATCAGCGTTGCCGATCTGGGACAAAATGAAGTCTTTCTGCTGTCGGAGCTTTATAACAAAACTGTGGAAGTCCACCACTTTGTCTTCATATGCTGCGGGCAAGCGCTGGCACAAGGTGGTCCGCCTTCGCAGTGCGAGGCCATGGCGCCGCATGAAACGAGTTGTCCATCCGGAGCTGGCTTTGAACTCTTTTGCTTCGATGCCCTGCGCTCGGGCTATTCTGCGCGCCTCAGTCTGCACAATATCCAACGACACAGCACAGCCGTCTTGTCGTAGCTCCCGTATATGCCGGACCAGTTGCTCTTCGACGTTCGGATACCTGCTGGTCTTGGCACCGCGGAAAGCCCGTCGTGTCTTCTTCGTCGCCTTAAGTTTTTCTTCTTGGTCCCTCCAGTACCGAATACTGGTTTCTCCAACGCCGAAATGCCTGCTTGCAGCCCGGTTGCCGTGCTCCAGCGCGTACTGCACTGCCTTCAGTTTAAACCCAGCCGTGTAGCTCGCGTACTTCCCCATGGTGGAACCAAAGTTCGATACACGACCACAACATACGCACACCGCTTGCAAAATGGCGTTTCTTTCTTTTTCTCTGATGGTGGTGATGGCGATCGAGCCCCCGGCGTTGTACACGTGACCTCCAAAAATCGCGGCGATTTGGGGGGTATCGGTAATTGATGGAACAGCCGTTTTTTTTTTTTTTCGCTCATGGACGCTTTTTTTTTTTTTAAGTTTTATTTCGACAAACACGTTGATTAGGTCGTTGCACTTTGAATTTTTTTTTATTTGCTCGTCGATTTGCCTTCTTTTTTGCTTCAGGGTACGGGGACCGCGTTCCAACTGTACCGCTGGGGGGTAGAATTGTTTCTGATCACGGCCAAGTTCGGGGTGCGCCTATTTTGCGCGGAATTAAAAAAAATCAAATTTTCCGCGACCAAACTAGGGGTGCGCCTATTATGCGAGTGCGCCGATTATGCGAGTAAATACGGTACGCCTGTCTTGAATATCAAATTCGTAATGAAACACAATATATCAGAAATTAGGGGCACAATGAGTTCTATATGAGCAAGCAGGACTTCATCAGTTCCTGCACCGATAGATTTCAGGTGTTTTATTACATTACGTATTTCTTCAGGAGTAGTGGGAAAGAGAAAAAACGAATGAAGGAGGCGTCTAAGTGGTGTGATTTGTGTGGGACAGGGTGCGTCAGCGCTAAAAAAGTAGGAACAGAAAGCGTCAGCTATGTCGATAGGCGAGTTAAATTCAATGTTGTTGATTACGAATCTGGATACTTGGTGGCGAGAGTTCCTGTTTAAAAAGCAGTTTACAATGTCCCATTTTCGTTTAGCCTTATTACCTGCTTGCGATATTTTTTCTTCTAAAATAGAATGTTTCACAGCTTTTAAGTGCTTGTTTACAGCATTACGTAATTTTTTGTAGCGGGCAATTAACTTAGTAATAAATGGCTGACTTTTAGTTTCTTTGTAGAGATTGTCGCGTCTACGTAAAGCAGCTAATAGCCTTTGAGACATCCACGGATTATGAGAATATGCTAATATTTTTTTACATTTCGTTTTGGAAGTGAATTTTCGGATATGCGATATAATTAAGGAAAAAATTTAGAAAACGCTCTTTGGGGAATATTACAAGATTTAACCTCGGTACAATCTAAGTCTTCTATGGCAGTTATGAAACTCTCTTTATCCAGAATGTATTTGGAATGAGCAAGAGTCCAAGGACGTAGTTGTCGATTGAAGCGTAGGAGTAAAGGATAATGATCAGTAATGTCACTGTCGAGAACTTTCACCTGCTGAGATATTAGCGAGTGAGAGAAAGCATGATCTATCAGGGTCCCAGCACGACTGGGAACTTGCCATGTAGGAACATCATTTAAGAACTCAAATCCGTAGCTTTGCAGTAGACTAGTGTAACTAATAACAACAGGTGAAGTGTAATTGAGTAAGTTAATGTTGATGTCACCCATTAAAATGGCAGTTTTATTCTCAAGAGAAATGATATGTAGGACATTTTCAAGATTAGAAAATAAATCTTCGACTGAGAATGAGGGAGATCGATAAATGCAGCCAAATATGAAATCTCTCTGATCGCAAGATGGAGAGCAATTAGTGATTTGAATCCAAACTGATTCGCAATTAGTTACAGGCAAGTGCAAATCGTGTCTTCTCCTATAAGAAAGATCAGGAGATATAAAAATGGCTGCACCATCATGACTGCTAGTTGTTCTGTTACAGTATTCTGAGTTATAATTTGGGAAGCAATAGAGATTTCTGTCAGCAACTGATAACCATGTTTCTGTTATGGCAATAAGTGAAAAAGAGTTACTATATGAAGAAAGGAGATCATGGATTTCATCGAAGTGTTTACGCGGGCTCTTAGCATTGAAATGAATGATAAAATTATATCCACTTATGAATGAGTTAACATGGTCTGGTTCTATAAGAACATCCATGTTGGTGCGAGAAAAAAATGATGCAATGATCACATTGTGCAAGGCTTGTCAAATCGAAGTCATCGCGAATGTGCTGGACTCTGCAATTAGTAGTCTTTCTAGCTTTAATTTGACAGTTGTCTGTCCAGAGAAACATCCAGTTATTTTCCTTTTTTAGTGTTAAGGCTTTGGAAAAGAGGACCTTGTTGCTTGGAGTCAAATGATCATTGATAAAGACAGGGGCATTTGTACCACCAGTGATACCAAGATCACTAGCACAGAGCTTCGCCTTACGTGCTTTACTGATGTAGTCAGATTTCTTAGTCTGGGAGCAGAAGCGCGCAATAATGTTTATTTTATCTTTAGAACGTGTTGGCATGCGATGCACAATGTCGAGATCAGCAGGCAATATGGGACAGCCAGCCTTCTCCCCTAACATTTTCACGATTGCACTGCAGTCTTTCCCTGAGAGCACAGTCTTCCCCTTGATCTCCACATTGCTCATGCGCGAGTATTGCTCCAGTTCCTCAACCTTGCGGCCGAGGGAGTCATTCAGGGTTGTTAGCTGTTTATTCTCATTTATTAATGTGACATTTTGGTTACGTAGGTCCTCGACAAGTTCATTCAAGTGCTCTGCACTCGATTGTAGGGATACAACTTCTTTTTTTATTTCAGCAACATCGATGCCCGATTCTTGCAGCTTGAGTAATAACCTGCCGATGACCTTTTCAGATGTGTCCTTAGCCAAGCTGTTAATTTTAGCCTCAAGGTCTTTATTTTTTTTTTTTAGAGTTCAGCATTAGTTGGCATGGTAAATACTCTCGATCAAAAAAAAACAAATACAGACACAGAAAAAAATAAAATGCAGATCAGAACGCAATTTTTGGCAGCAGCGGCAGTTAAAAAAAAATAGAAACTATACAGAAAAGAGCTTGAAAGAATGCCTGCAAGAACGGGAAAATCTGCTTAATTTGTAGCTCGTGCAATGCCACTGCTGCCAGTGAAGAGCCGGTGCTGGTGCTGGCAAATATATAGGGCTTGCTCTCGAGGCAGCGACCTCCAGCGGCGAAGTCGTCGAATGCTATCAGCAGGCCACAAAGTGACCGCACAGTCGCAGCTTCACCACGTGTGAATGATCCAGCACCTTCCAAGGGCAATGCGACAATGAAGCACCATATGTATTGTGTTCTGCGATTATTTTTTAATAAACTTGAAACTAAACCTAAAACTTGAGTCAATGAGCCAGAAAACTATTCTTTGAAGCACGACAACCCAACCGACAGGGTTGTCGAACTAAAATTTTTTTTTAATGCATTAATGAGCGCAAAGAGGCTGTTAGATAAATTACCGATACCCACAAAATTGTCCTGCTGCTAGGCTCTTGGATGCCATGTGTACAACGCTGGGGACTCATATATTGAAAACATTTTCTTAGATGTATGAGACGCTTACTGTGCTTCTATTGGCTGGAAATGGCCATGTAATTTATGCGCGCTTACGGTATTTTGTTTTCATGCAAAATAGGGGCACCCATGTTTAATTTGTTTTGTGCTAAAGTTGTACTCATACAATATAGCTGGCTGCTGTAGAAATGATGCCAAAAAGTTTACGGTTCTTCACTGACTAGTGCATACGAAGCTGGGCGGTTTGTTTTGTGATGGATAAAGTGGTGCTGAGTATTAATCTGGGAGTGTGTACATGTCTCTTTGGCGTGCTTTATGATGAGATCGTGTATTTGACACGACGCAAAAAACCCTATAACTTAATTTTGCTCCACTACGAGTGTACTCTTATTCAGCTATGGGGGAAAAAAAAGATAGAAGAGACCGGAGGCACTTTGTGGGTATTTCATGACAACACAGCTTCATGTCAATGAAAGTAAATTTATCGAAAAATGTTTTTGCCACTTTTATCATGCATTAGGCACATCCTCAAATGGTTCGACGGAAGCAGTTCCAGGGTTAAGTGAGACCCGTTGGATACCAGATGTGCACCTAAAATATGCACACACCTGCTCAGTCTATCCGCCTCGTAACGCTCGGCTATAAGAGAAAAAATGCTGCATGCTCTTGTCAAACTAAGAAAGTGTGTGTCTTTATTGTCATGCAGTCTGCCTCGTGCTTGGCTGAGACCCAAGAGCTCAAGTCACGAGTGCTCAGCTCAGGCCGGGAGTGTGCCATTCGTTATCGAGAGCTTCTCCAACTGGTGCTTGAGGTAAGGTCACACATTGGCATTGGCCATTTTTCGTTTAATGATCTCGAAGCTGGCACTCATCATGGCGGGCCAAATTGTTAGTCATATGCATTTGTAGTCTGACAACGGGGAAACTGTTGTGTGCCACATAAGATGGTTGGCTATAAGTATCAAAGGAGTTAATCTGGGGCTCTGTAGCCAAGAAACACTTACAGATACAGAGAATCTTCTTTATAGCCATTTAGCTGTGGGGTTTTCAAGACCAGTCGGTACATGATGTAAAGTGAAAGGTTGCAGCAAGTTTCAGACGCGAACACAAGAAGAAAGGAATGCACAGGACAAGGCGGGACTTACAACTGAAGTTTCTTAAAAAAAATATATTTCCTAAAACGTGCAAAAAAAATGATAGTAGCATCATGTCAACAATGTCCTAGCTAACATGCTCCCTCCCCCTCTTTCTTTATTTTCTACGGAAGAGGGTAAGCCCTATACCTGCCATGTATTTTAGGCAAAGTTTATGTACTTTTGTCTCCATAACCATAAGAGCTGCAGTACTTATTTTAGTATCATAGTGATCATAAGCCATTCTTCTGCTTATTGAAGCAGATTTCGCACTGAAAATGGTAATGCTTATGTTTTGGAATAATTCTTGGTTACGTTTTGCACTGCACATTAAGGGGAGCCCCTCCTCGAAAAAGGCTTTTATTTCTAGTAATAGAGACCTATAAGTTTGTTATTAGTATAGTTTTTCATGCAGATTTCAAATATGCAATCATGTTTTGTGTAGCTATTATAATTATGGAGTTATGCCATAAACAATAGCAAAAGGTTACATTTTTTGCGGGCACTTTTATATGTACTAAACTTTCCGTAAACGCACTGTGTCTGATCTTATTTGACTCTTAGTAGATTGAAAAGTGCAAATATCTCTATAGATATGTCACAGAAATATTGGAACCAAGAAAACGAAAATTGTATTGAATGACTTATTATTTTCAATCTCCCTTGAAACAATAAACTAATATTTTCACAACTAATCTTAGTAGGCATTTCAGTTTAAAGTAGATATTTGCATTCTGCATGTGTTGAAGAATATGTGTGCCAAGTTTCGTTACTATACAATGAATATAAGTTTCTAAAAGGCTGCCCAGAAAAGGTGAAACTGTCACAAAAAATGGAAATGAGAAAAACAAGTTCAAAAGTTCACAAAGTTGGCATTTATTAGGAAATCATTCTTTTTGCATCAAATTGGGGCATAATGAAAAGTACCTTGCACTGAATGCACTGCAAGTGTCTAGAAGTCCCCTGCACCACAGCTTGGTCCTTCACGACTCTTGCGGTCAGTGTCCTCAACACGAGCTCTCTTCGCTGTGTTGGGACGGTGTGCCCTCGGTCCTGCAGTTTGCTTCAGGTTCATCTTCCTGATGCGCATAACATCACAGTGGTCACCATGTGTGGCCAGATCTTGTGAGGGGAGAATTCCAATGCCTTCGAGTACTTTTTCAAAGCCCCTGTGGCCTTTGTTGTACCAGAGTACGGCAAGAGCGGTGGCTGTCTCCACAGTTGTTCTGGAGGCGAACTTTGTTTTTGGACATAGCAGCCATATCTTGCTGTTCATTGGTTTGGCTGCATTCTGTGTTTTGCCATGAACGCACCGAATAAGGAGTGTCTCCTCTGTAAGGCGCTTGTAGATAGGCATAATTGCCAATCTTTGAGCCTTCGTCAACAGTTGGGTGTGGCGTGGTGCAAGCTCCCCCAGTGCTTCCGCATGCTTGTGCTTGCACCACGAATTCGGTCCCGCGGGGCAAAAGTTGTGGCTACTGGCACCATCACTAGAACAGCTATGAAAATACGATGTCCATATGGCAGTGTACATATTTCGGACACTGTTCTTGTTGCTCGTGATGGGGATCTTGTAATATGTTTGTAGTTTTATTAATGTCGCATCTTTAAATTTTTCGCCTCAGGGCAGTGGCGTTGCCAGTTTCTGTAGGGCAGTTCTCAAGCGCTTTGCAACGTGATTCATGCACTCTTCTTTGTCAATGGGGGTGTCACAGTATACATTTGCCTCGCAGACTGCAGTGTAGGTCTTGCTGTCACCATCACTTAGGAAGCTGGTGAATCGCAGTGGAGTTTCATAAGACAAAGTCCTCTGCCATATATTGACAGCTGCCGCAGGTTTCATTGCATGGGATGAGCAGTCAGCGTTTTTTTGGCAAACTGGAAGATGAAAAGCTCGCCATATCTTTTCATCCTTCCCAAGATCCCTGTGTGTACTTCAAGCATGGCAGTAGTTCTAAAGAACTTCAAAATCGAGGCAGAGCCATGTGTCCAGGGGCATGACTGTGCCCACTTCATTGTGACTTTTATGACCTCTTTTCTGCCAGGTGCCATCAAACATGACTGGCACATCTCTGCCGCCGACTGCGTCCTTCTAATGTTTCGTGCCTGATGCAAGTTTTTGCTCACTGCCGTCATCGCCGCACCATGGAGCTTGGAAATGCCGTTGAATGTCTTGTGATGCAACGGGCTCAGAAGACCGAAAATCTGCACAAAATTGTGAAAGTTGGTCGTGGCCTGCGCCTATAGCGCGTGCTGCCAGAACTGCCTTTACGTTTACAGCAAAGCTATCACGCGAGCTGCCGGTGTCAAAGCGAGTGCTCGTCCCTTGGTCCCCGGTCGAAGCGGTAGTCTCGATATTATGCGTGAACGAAAGTGCAGATTCAGGGCAATCAGAATTTTGACACCACAGTTCGAGGAATGCCGAAAGTCCTTTATGCTTTCCAGCTGCCTCTCGCACGCTGAGCTTCCGTTCGCGGCAGGTTGGGCATTGCGCACCCGCCACAAATGCCATCAGTGCATCGATTTTGCATACAAGCGTGTTCGCAGTAGCAGAATCTACCGGTCTACATTCACTCTCGAAGAATCCAATCTTCTTTTGGCATGCACTGACGAATTCCACGGCAGCGGCTATTTCACAATCACTGTCGCAGGGTTCGGTGACAATGTTGGGCCTATCCGAAGTCAGAGCGTCGAGACGTTGGTCGGGGGGCGTCATCGTCGTTCGCTGTCGCTTTGCGAAGCGTCTGACGCATTTTCCTTGATGCTTTTGGCGAGTTCTGAACTTTCGATTGTCTGAACTGCACTTCATCGGGCTTGCCATGACGAAAAAATGCAGAGAAACACAGAAAAACTCGATCGCAGTGTCCGAGGCTTCACTATTTTGCTGGAGAGATAGGAGGGGGAGGAGCGTGGAGCGCACCGCGGTCTAATGGCTGCCTCGCGCTCTGTGCCACGAAATTCAAAACGCGTGACATACGCGTTGTTTTTCTCATTTCTTGTTTATTCTGTGTGAAGGCACGAGACTGGCTACTAGTGGATTGTGAAGGATATGGCCTTAGCAGCATGCGTGCACGATTGCAAATGGCGTTCAACGCGTCATTTTCGCAACAGGACGACGCGAACTTCGCGGTTTTTTGCGACTTTCACGCATTTCTCGTGTCACCGCTGCCCACTTGGAAGCATTTTTTGATAATTTCTCGTGCAAATTTCATCTTCATATTTTCAGAAGTAATAGGTTATAGTCCAAGGCTGCCGGTACAGCTGAAAATAGAAAAAGTGAAAATTTTCTGGAAAACCGCGACTTTTCTACCCACGTCTCCCCTTAACACGAAAACATTACTTAGCTAGGTGTGTAAAAAAAATTCATTTGCCTGGTGTCCATAAAAGTCGTGTGGAAAAAACGCGTCGGGCATCCCTCAGAACCAGACACCAACAACTGCCGCAGGAACCACTCGCAGCCGTGGAGGGGCAATTTGTGCTGCATATAGTCTCCCGGCTCGAAGAGAGCCTTTCTCTGTCACATCACTTAGGTTGAAGAAATGGCATGGCTTCCTTTCACATGTAAAGTGACACCACTTTGGTTGTACCAAACCATGTATATAAAGAGAATTTGTCCTTTGCATTAACTCATTCTTGTGTCATGAGTAAAAAAGAGGCGCGAGTCCCGTGCCGAACATGGAAGCGCTGCGACGCTGTGGGAGAAGAAAAAAAGTCACCCGAGAGCACGCGCACCAGCCACAAAGACGCAAGAAATTGGTCCCAGAAAAGCTTTTGGCACGCGACCTGGGACACGAGGAAAAATCCCAGAGTATGAGCTGGCACTGTGTCTGGGCCCGCCGAGCTGCGAGGACGTGGAAAATGAGCGTCACTACTGTGACGGTAGCAGCATGACCGCCCGGTTCTAAGGATGTGGACGAGAGAGGCCCAGAGAGCGTACGTCGACCTCGGAGGTTTCGAGTGAAGCTGCCCGGACTTGCCTCACCCTCGCCCGCAGTTCGTGGTCGACATGCAGCTCTCCCACTACACAGAAGGCCGGTGACAGCCCACACAACTAAGCAGAGTGGACGTGGCATCAAGAGAGTCTATGACGAGACTAAGCCTAGCCTAGTGAGGCCAAAAAAGATGACAAAGTCCGGGACACCAGCGATGACGATGAGCGGCTCGTTCGGCTGGACCAACTGATGGCGACAGCGGGAGGTTGAAGAGATAGTCAATGAAGTACATGACAAACCTCAACACGGCATCGGAGAAAAGCCGACCTGAACCGTACGATCATTCAATCGTGGAGGCGCCATATTGGATTAAGAGGAGTGGCTAGGGCTAAGTACGAATTTAGACTGGTTTGCAAACTATTTTGCTTGTACTGTGAGTGGGTAATTTTGTGTCCGTGAGTGTCATTTTCACTTTAAATATTCTTCCTTTTATTTTTGGCAGAGACTACTACACGAGCCACCTCCACTCAGAAACGGCTGCTGTGCCGCAGGGAAGTGATGTCATGGACTTTTCCGGTTAGGCGCTTCGTTTGAGTAGTCGGACTGACTAGCATTATGCCTAGGCATAACGATAAAAGCTGTTGAAGTTACGTCTAAACGTAAAACTAAAAAGTGTTCAAGTTGTGTACAGCATGACAACAATACAAAACCGGCTTCTTAAACCTTCCGAGCCAGTCGGCAGCTGTG